CCCTCTCCAAGAACCTGCGTGTGCGCTTGGACCTGGCCGACTGCTCTTCCCAGCAGATGTCTGGGAAATTATCTCTGGTTCTCCTTCTATATAATAAATGCCAAGATGCCCAAGGGGAGATTTGGGGAAGAAGAAATAGTGGGGTGTGTTTTGGGAGTGTACATCTGCAAAGGGGCGTAGGATTTGGATTTGGCCTGAATTGGGGACAGTGATTCGAATCACTGTCAATTCGGCCGAATCCAGATCTGAAGATTCAATGCTGATTCGAAGGATCAGTGATTTGGACATACACAGCTTTAAATGTTTTTTGTACATACCTCAAGGTACCAGCACAGCTTGTGAATGCTGTGATGCTGGGGTGGATGGAGCGTCCCACAGGAGTGCAGGGAGGGTCCTCCACATGCTCGGTGGTGAACCCGAAAGTGGACTGGAAGTGCTTCTAATCCACTTCCAGGTCTGCTGCTGAGCACGCTGGGGAACACCCCCCTGCCCCTCCCCCGCTCCTGTGGGACACTGCATGCGCCCCAGCATCGCAGCACTCACAAGCCCCTGCTGCCTAGAGGTATGTAGAAAAAACATTTAAAGCTGTCTTTATGTCCGAATCTCCAAATCTTTCCAAATATCTCTGAATCGATGTGGAGGGTTCCGATTTGATTCAGAGAGATTAAAGGGTCCTTTGATTCAATTCAGATTCAGAGATTCAGCCACCGAACTGGGCCGAATCTCCGCTGAATCGAATCAGGGACTGAAGCTTCACACAGCCCCACTAAGAACATTGGCAGGCAAGGTGCTTTGAGTAGATGTGGTATCTCTTATTAGACCAACTGAGTAGTTAGGGAAAAAAGTTCTTAGCAAGCTTCCGGGTGCAGTCACCCTTCATCAGGCACAGGAAATCTGTGTGAGACTTTTCATGACCTTTTGACTTGAATGAACATTGATGACTGAGTTCCCATAAGGATTGGGATCATATCTATTTTTGGGTTCTCTCATGAGTAAAGCATGCCAATGTGTTTGGAGGCAAAACATAGTACTATTCAGAGCAGAGCTGGTCAGATATCTTTCAATTAAACAATTTAATCAGAAAATGCTGATTCATCAAACGAGAAATGATTTTCAGAAACCATCTTGGGTTGACAAATTTTCCTCAGTTCCTTATAGAGAGATACCTGGCTTTTGGATGAATTGCTAGGGAGATGGAGCCCCCAGGGTCCTGGCTCCACAGCTTCCCTGACATTCAGTTTGCCTGCGGGAAACTGGGAGCCCCAGTTCAGATATTCTAGATTCCCTTCTGTGGAGCCAGGACCCCAGAAGTCCCTGGACAGATTGCCAGGATTCGTAGCCAGGGAAACTGGTTGTCCCAGTAGTCTGGAAGCATAGTGGTCCCCATCACGGGGCAATCCTTATGGCAGAGCTGCCCCGAACAGCAGACCCTGGAAACTGATATTGAGAAGAATCCGTCACAGTCAGGAGCTGCTGGAGTTCCTGGACGTATATCTTGTTTTAGAGATGCATTGTTTCAGTATTTCTGGAACCCATATTGTTGTTTTTGTCTGTTTTAATTTACAGTTAAAAAACAGGTTTCATTCTGAATTCCTACAAAGCCAGACATAGTTTCATAGTAGGTAGGGTCAGAAGGGACCTGAGCAGATCATCAAGTCTGACCCCCTGTCATGGCAGGAAAGAGTACTGGGGTCAAACGACCCCGGCTAGGTGATTATCCATACTCCTTTTGAAGACCCCCAGGGTAGGGGTGAGCACCACTTCCCTTGGAAGTTGGTTCCAGATCCCAGCCGCCGGGACTGTGAAGTACTGCCTCCTGATGTCTGAACCTACTCTCAATCAACTTATGGTCATTATTCCTAGTTACTCCTGATGGTGCTCGGGGGAACAGGAACTCTTCTGTTCCCTGCTGGTCCCCCCTGGTAAGTTTATAGACGGCCACCAGACCCCCTTTCAGCCTTCTCTTGTGGAGGCTGAACAGGTTCAGGTCCCTCAGCCTCCCCTCATAGGGCCTGCCCTGCTGCCCCCTGATCATGAAAGTGGCCCTCCTCTAGACCCTCTCAATGCTGTCCACATCCTTCCGGAAGTTTATATTTTACATAAAAAAGTAAATAAAATTCCTTGCAACCAGAAATCCGGCATGTCATCTAGCTACAGTTCAGTCTTCTACAAATACCAGCTATTTAAGCTGCTGTGGGCCCCCTGTGAGGTCAGTGTTCTTCCCCCTCTGTAAAATGGGGATAATTTAGTTAGACAGAATTTCTGTTATGCAGACTACATGTACAGTAATAGCTACCTAGTTCAAAAAGATCATTGGTAATAATTACCTGGTGGCTCTGTTCCCGTCGTTTTATTCTTAATGAAGCAGTCCATGTCTGATTCTACAGTACAGTTTTCCAAGCTAAGCCGAACCTCTTCATACAGCTACAAAACAGAGAACAAGGATTTTAAGTTCTGGCCTTTAGTGTGACAAACTTTTAAGGCGGAATCCTCTCCTGATCTCTCTTTCTCCGCCTTAAGGCAACTGTCCACTTGGAAAGTATTTGCATGTTACACAGCTATTTATTTCTGCTGCAAACAACATCTTGACATAGGAGTTCAGGCAACAGCTTTACAAGATGATAGTTTAATAATGGCTATTTAATCTAGTAGAGCAATGTGTAACTAGAGCCAGTAGCTGGAAGTTAAAGCCAAACAAATTTGACTTGGAAATAAACACGCAGTTTTAACAGTGAAAGTGATTTACCCTTGAAACAAACTACCAAGAAAAGTAGTGTTTCCATCTCTTGATGTCTTCAGACCAAAACTAGTTGCCTTTCTGGAACATGTACTTGAGCCTCAATAGTTGTGTGACTTAATAGAAAGGTAACTTGATTAAATTTTATGTCCAGTGTTACACAGGAACTCAAACTACATGATCCTGTCTGACTTTAAACTCAATGAATTGATTAAAAATTTTCAGAGGCTGTTGTTTCCAAAGGCATCTGTAAACATTTCCTTGGGTTTTGAGAGATCTTCAGTAGTTTGACTGAGCTGAACAGAGAATTCCTGGATGGACTTTCATTAAAAGTAGGGGTACGGTTTGACATGTAGGTCATGTACCTGCAAAGATTTGCATTATTTTAATAAAATTAGTTATTTTTCTCCCACTGTACAAGGGATGACCATACAATTAGTACATCTGTGTATAAAGTTAACCTGGTGATTGGAGTCATGACCCTGGAGATTAAGGAGAAGGGATGGGAGTTGCTGTCATGGAGCTTGGTTTGGAATCTCTCAAGTCCATGCAGGCTCAACTATCCCTTTCAAGTTCAGTGGGGAGGTAAAGCTGGCTTGTGGTTTTTTGCCTTGGCTGAGAGTGTGCTGTGATGGCCAGAATCATAACCAGGCAACAGCAAAGTTGCTGGAGGCATTCAGTGAGCATGAAGAGGGATAAAATGGGATTATGACTTTAAAGGACACATTTTTCTCTTTGGGGAAAAATCTGTACCTCATCATCCTTCACACACTGCATGGAGAATTGGTTACAGTGAACCCATAGGGAGTTCCGGAGGATGGTGATACGGTCACACTCCTGGAGTTGAAAGGCCTGAAATCCAAAAGAAGAGCTGTCAAATATCATGGTGGTTGTTATTTACATTTTTAGTAGCACCTAGCGGCCCTTGCTGTGGAGAAGGCCTTCATTATACTATGCTCATATACCTGCAAACCATTCCCAAATGTGCCACAGCCAACTGTTGGGACAATCTTAAAAAAATAAATCTGCATCGGGATTTTTTTGTTTGTTTGTTTGTTTGTTTTTGTTGTTTTTTAAAGTAAACTGAGGTATATTTTCCATGGAAAAGCTGTACATGGAGAAGAGAACAGCATTTTGATCTATAGATGATTTCTCCGCATACTGTCTATGCTACTGGAATCCTGTTGTAAACAAGTCAGGGGCAACGTTGTTGTAATTGGATGCCTGATGGTGGCTGTATATAGAATATAGGTGATACCAGAAGTAGCTACTGATGCCTGCAGTTGGTATCTGTTTGGAAGAACTTTCTAGGTAGAAAATCTTTGACTTGTGCTTTTTCTCCAGTTTTTTTTCCCCTTTATTTTTAAGGATGTTCACATAGTAAAATTAGATTTTTGTGTTGCTTCCCAGTTTATCTGTTCCTATGTCTTCAGCTGATTGTTGTTTTGAGGTGAGATGGGGAGCTGGAATGTGAATTCAGGTGGGAAAACATACAGGTGAACTCTCTTTTTCTATAATTGTTTTTACAACAAAACCAAAAATAAATGTTATCTCCAAGCTGAGCTGTTCTTCCCAACAGAATGTGCTTTTTTGTTTTCCACAAGGTGCAAAAGGCTCAGATGCTTCTTGCCATCTGCTTGCTTCTTCATTTTTTAGTACTTATGTTAACAGCACCAAAAAATTACTCAGGTTTTGAAAAAGGATTGAGAAAATACAATCCCTGTCTTTTAAGAGACACAAGGCATGAGGAAGTCAACATGAGGGTATGAAGAAATCAACTGGTCAGAGAAATAGGAGGGGAATCATTATAGGGACAGTGGATAGGGAGAGTGAGGCTACTTTGGGTCTGCAAGTCAGGGGAATTGGCTTCATTTAACATTTGAAAAATGTAACCACAACCATTTAATATCGGTGAGGTTCCCCCCAAATGGAAAAACTTTGTCAACTTCCTAGTGACAGAAATTTCTAAATATTTGAATATTTTTTTCAATATATATATAAAAAAATTGAAACTGAAACACAACTTTTCTTTCCCAAACACTGGAATGGAAATTTTGGGTTATGACCAACTCTAGTCAGGTCCCCAGGTCCCGTTAAGAGCCAGCCAGAGGAAGCCATTCGTAGTGTGTAATAGCAACAACCTTAATGGATCTGCAGATAATGAACCATAAAATTGACATGTAAAACTCTAGAGTGTCTATGCATGGTAAATTGCATAAACTAACAACATATGCACACCACCAGACACTGCCTTAGACACACACTTTGCATACATTTTTATTTTAGAACCTCCTCAGAAATCTACCAATAGTTCATTTACTGATAAGCACGTTTAGGAGAAGGAATTCAATAAAGTAATTCCTTTGCAAAAGATAAGTTTGTGCTAACAGCTGTGGGAAGGTTAGGGTTCTGTAGTCTGGCATATATACATTGGTGATGGGAGAGTAAGAAAGGAAAAGGAAATAAAGGAAAATCTTTTAGGATTCCTTTAAAAGAAATAAAGGAAAATCTGTCTTGGGGGAGATTTTAGACCTGATACCATTTCTATGGAACATTTGCTGTTTTAGCTGTGGGACTTTCCAGTGATTCCCAACAGGGAAAGTTTAGGAGAAGGCAGGGAACTGGAAGGTCCCACTCCTGGCATTTGCATTTATGTGGAAATAAAAAGTTGAAACAAGCAAACATAGCAAAAGTGAACTTTAACAGATGGACCCATATACAAGACAGAGAAATGTAAAGGGACAAAATCAAATTCAAGTGAGCTAATATGTTCCTAATAGGGATGTTAACCAGTTCCTGAAGACTGTCATAGAAAATGTACAAAATAGGTACAAAACCTAGTTACTCTTCCTGATAATGGAAGTGTAACTATATTTTCTTGCCTCTGAATCAAAGCAAAAATTACTCCATACTAGTAAGTGAATAGCATTTTGCAAGGATGATGTAAAAATATTCAGTGAGATTAAAGTAGATCACAAATTGTCTTCCTATAGACTGGTGTCCTCTTCACTTAGAGTGGTGTAACAGACATGCTTACTAAATGTGCAACTCACTAAGACTGGGTGGGGGGTGTTCTTCACGTCCTTTCAGTTTCTGCAATGTAATTTTTTTTTCTACCCTGATTTGGGGCAAGAGGTCAAGCTCAAAACATTCTCATAAGCCAGTAATGGGGGGGAAATAAGCAGGTAAATTAAATTGTTTTGTTTTGTTTTTTGACTGTTTAAACTTTTTAAAATAGTAAATTAGCTAAAACTTTAAAAATAATTTCTATCTGGAAATACATTTTTAATTGTTTCAAATTGGATTTGTTAAAACTAATCCTTTCCTGTGATATTTTAGTTATGATTTGGTGATATTTTGTCAGAAAATGATCAGTTAAGAAATACATTTATCTTGGCTCTAATGAAATAGAACATCCATTAAACAAGCATAATCTAATTTTATACCCAGGAACAGTTCATCAACTGGTGGAAATTTAAAACCATGCCTTTGTAATTACACCAGTTCAGAATTTGTCTTCTGCATTCAATGTGTGAGAGAAAAGAGTGAGCAAGTCAGCTAACAATCTCATTTTCAATCTAGGGTAGTCTTTAGAGTATTCTTGAAGCAGTCACGTATTCACAGACTATCCAAAGCATGTAAGGAATCCCTCCCTCTTGAAACTGGATGCTGGGCTAAGATACACAAGTGGAGTGAAATAAAAAGTGTGCATACAAAGGATTATAAAGGTCAATATTTACCTCACAGGTTTTGATATGTTCCTGCTCCCATTCAGTCCTGGCCTTGTCCAGCTGCTCTATGTTCTGCTTGTACACCCTCTCTGTCAACAGAGACATGTGAAATAGGAAGTTACCCAGTGAGATAAGATAATGTAGCCTCCTCATATCTCCTCCTCTTGTGTATTACTGTAGTTTTATTATGGAAATATATAGCTCTAAACCAGGGGTGTCAAACTCACTCTGTGCCCTGGATACCTGGCTGGATCTGGACTGTGGGGCTTTTTGCAGGTTGGATCAGTGGGAAAAGTGGGGAAAGCAGGAGGGCCAGCAGCTGCAGCTGTGGCAGTAGTGGGGCCAGTGGCAGCAGGGGAGGTGATGAGCCAAGTGGCAGTGATGTGTGTTGCCACAGCCTTCCCTTCACCCCTCCCCTGTCAATGGCCATGTCCACTGGCACCCCGGGGCCCAGATTGTGTGGAAGGCTTTGCCCCTGCTAGCTCAGTCCCCAAATTCCATGTCCCCCCACTGCCTCACCAGGAGTACTGTGGGCTAAATGGATCAGCTCCGTATGCCATACGTTTGCTACCCCTGCCCTAAACTGTACCCTACAAAATACAGTGCAGTAGAATCTGGTTCACCAGGAAGGTGGCTGCTTACCTCATGGTAGCTTCATGAAGCAACACTGACCTCTCTGACCTACTGATGCGTCACACACACCTTAGCCAGGCTGAAGTAACATGGAATTGCATTTTCCTGACACACAAGATACCTTGGGAGAACCCAGGAGAACTGGTCCAAGTGGCACAGGAGTAATGTGTTTCATTTCACAGTCATGAAACAGAGCCAAGCTCCTGGTGTTTCCGATACTGTATTTGGGCTCACAGCTGGGTCATCTACCATGGTTGTTCATGGCCAGGGATCCTGTTTTTTTTTATTTAAAAAAAAAAAATCCCCAATTTTCAGATTAAAAAAAAAAAAACCCCCAATTTTAGAATAAAAAAAAAAAAATGGGTATTTGGTTTTTTTTTTTTTAAAAAAAAAAATCCCCAATTTTCAGATTAAAAAAAAAAAAAAAGTAAACCAAATCCACATTTTTTTTCTATGATTAAAATGAAACACCACTAATATTACTGTTTTTGAATCTGAAAATTGGGGGGGGGTTATCAGAGAAAATCAGGATCCCTGTTCATGACTGAATACAGACATATATGGTCCTTGATCTGAGTTGGAGTAGTTGAAGACTTTTCTGTGCCTTAACATAGCATGCATAAATAGCATACCAGAAAAAAGAAAGACAGAAAAATGACGTATGCTGCTTTTAGAGGATTACCTCTCCTAGAAGGCAGTGGGTAGGTTTATACTGCTTTCCCAGTGCTGCTGGTATAAGCCATTCCCAAGCAGGCTCTGCCCATTTGCTCCTGCTCCTAGTCATCAAACCTGGAAATGAGGCAGTGAAACTGCACTGAGAGCAATCCCCATAACAAGCACTTTCCAGATCTTTCAGTGCTTAAGAGTGGCAGAAGAGGAGATGCTTCCAGAGGGGCTTCACCCCTTCATTTCCAGGATAGACATGTGGAAGAGGGAGTGGGCAGGCAGGCTATGTTCAAAGGACAGCCTTCCCCTTGAGCACTGGGGAAGGGGTGTAGACATACCCCAGCATCCTGGAACAGCAGCCTCACTAACCTATGTGGGTGAGTTTTTATGAAGTTGCATTTCAAATGGATGGGTTTACTTTTAATAGCACACCATTGGATTCAGCTTGATGTGGGACCCTCTAAAAAGCAAACTCTACATTTAATTGCAAATAGAATAGCACCTGCTTCATTCGCTGAATCTCTGTATTGTTTAGCTTTATTTTGACTCTGAAATAAAAAAGACAAAACTGAAATTAAGACTTTTCCATATTTTTTTTTCCTTTTTAACCAGTCAACAATCCTGGCGGTATAAAATTAACTGCCCAACCTTGCCAACAATTACTATCTGGCTAAGAGCCAAGCATTATTGTATTGACTTTATATAAAAACTAGAGATCTTGTCCTCGGCTGGTGTAAATAGTTATAGCTCTGTTGACTTAAGAGAACTCTGACAGTTTACATAATGTGAGAGTTTGGCCTTATGTACTGCCTTTGTACACTTTCCTGGCAGTTGCTCTTTTTGGCTAGGGACAGACATTACACATAAACCAGGTTAAGTCATCCAAAACTGGTTTAAACCTGTAACAGAACAGAAGTTCAGTGCACATAAACTGCTTTCAAAATGGCTGAAACTGATCTGGGATAAACTTGGATGGATGTAGTATCAGACTTAACTGATTTAGGTCAAACCAGTTTATGGAACTTCGGTCCCAAATCCCTTCGTGGTTCAAGTTAACTTGCAGCCCCTCAGGATGCTTTGTGGCCCTGGGCTGTGCTGTCTGCTCCAGCAGAGCAGGGCTGGCCCCTCCTCCAGGTATCTCACAGCTAAAGCACTAAAGTCTTTGCTTCCCACCAGCACCTGTCAGCCTGGCAGGATGGGAGGGGGCAAGGGAATGGACCCCCAGAACCTTCTAGCCTCCCCTCTGTACAAGACAAGGGGAAGGAAAGCCCCAGCAGTGGAGAGGTGGGGTAGGGGGGTATATGCCCATCCTGGCCTGGCATCAGACCCTCCCAGGCAGGGTAGCCCCTACTGGGGGCTTTTCAGTCCCCCACAGGCCAAATTTTTGGGCTGGGATCTGCTCTTCCACAGCTCCCACCTGAGAGGCAGGGACCAGGGGGTTGAGTGCACCAGGCCAGGTGGGCACTAGCTTCCCCAGCCAGGGTCTGTCCAGTGTGGAGGAAGGGGAAGTCCCCACCAGGATCTTTTCACTCCCCCACAACCCAGCTCACTAGGCTGGCATGCGCTCAGCCCCACCCCACCTGTGAGAGCTGGGGGCGGGGAGGCGAATGCACTGGGGAGGCGGCTCACCAGGCTGCAGGGTTACAAAAAGCCCCCAGTGGGGGCTTTCACTGGGAGGACTGGGGGGCCAGTGTCAGGCCAGGCTGGTGCGTTCCCCTTCCCACGCCCTGCCTCTCACAGGTAGGGGGTGCTGGGGAGGGGGCAGGGCTGAACCCATGCCTGCCTGGTGAGCCAGGCTTTTTGGGAGTGAAAAGCCCCAGTGGGGACTTCACCCCCTTGCCCCCACCACATCAGGCAGACCCTGGTTGGTGGTCCAGTGCCAGGCCAGGCTAGTGTCTTCTCCCCCTTCCCTGCCTCCCTTTTCAGAGGTGGGGGGCTAGGGAGAGAGTGGGGCTGAGCTGATCCCAGCCTGAGGAGCCAGACTGCAGGGGAGCAAAAAGTCCCTGGTGGGGGCTTCTCCCTCTGGGCTGGGCAGACCTCAGCTGGGGGAGCCAGTGCCTGGCTGGCCTGGTGCATTTGCCCCCTCCCCCCGACCCAAGCCCCCACCTCTCACAGGCAGGGTTGGGGAGGAGGCAGGGCTCAGCTGATTCTAGCCCTGTGAACTGGGCTGCTGGGGAGCAAAAAACCCCTGGTGGTGTCTTTCCCCCACACTGGGCAGACCCCAGCTGGGGGGCCAGGGCCAGGTGGTGCATCCCCCATCCCCACACCCCTCTGGGGCAGGGGCTGGGGAGAGATTTTCCACTGCCCAGTGGCTGACAGTGGTGGTGGGGGTGTCTAACAGCCAATCAAGCCTGGGTTGCTACTGGGCTGGGTTTAGCAGCCTCAGGCAGCTGGGCACGAGTAGTGGTGTACATGAGCGCCCCAGACTCCTGGCCTGGGCCAGTGTAGGCTTCTGCCTATCTTGGCCACCCAAACACTGAATGTCTGTTAAGTTTGTTATTGGATCAAGCTGTGTAGCTTAGAAAAACCTGCAAAGATTGAACTCATTCCATCTTAGGCTCTTTTAAACCTCTGCATAAGTGTTTGCAGAATCTGACCCCGCCTTTCTCCCCCTGCTGATACAGTATATTGATACTGGGGACAATATGTGACTGCTGAACAGGACCTTAAAAAGAATGAAATGGCAGTTGAAATTCCTCCTCTGCTCCCAGTTCCCCAGGTAACATCCCCAGATAAGCAGCCAGATTTGAAGGAACAGGATGAACCTTCTAAAATATTTTTGCAACTGTTACATTTCTTGGCTGTTTCCAATAGCAACTTGAAAACCCTGAAAGCAAAATTCCCTTCTCAGTAGAATGTCTTTGTATTTTACAGCTCTTTAAAATGGAAAATATGGGCAGACTATTGACAACCCAGTACTTCCTGGTTTTACTGCACCAGATGGTGATGACAACATGTTAATGCAGTGTTCTTGAAGCCTGTATTCTGTCCTTCAAGGCAATGTTCAAACTAAGATTCCCATAATTATGCTCCTTCACTGCAGCTGGCTGGAAAATATGTGATAAGTCAGAACCCAGCATCATCTTTATTCATTTCCTGTCCTAAACTGTTTACTGTTGCTCTGCAAAGTGAAACAGCTAACAATTTCCATGCAAGCTGCCACTCTGTATTTCAGTGTGGGGAGAAACGACCGTGTTCACGTTGATGTGTGTAAAGTTAATGGCAGTGAAACACCCTGGAACCTTTTGGGGGAAAGGCACTAGGCAAGATTCTGATCCTCAACAAATAAATAGGGATTTCCCTCTTTACTTAGGACCAGGTTTTCATTCAGTATTTATAACAAAGATCTAATTTGTTACTCATCAAAGATTTTGGGACACAAGATACCAAATGCTTATTTCCAGTGCCATTTTTAGATATTTTTTCCCCCACAAGAGATGAGGTTTGATATTCTCTGCTTACACTGCACTGATTTTTATGGAGCAAAAGGGAGTTCATTTATTTTGTTTTCCCCATCTGTTCCATTGTAAAATGTTCCCATTAAAAGTTACTGAATCGTCAGCTAAAAACATAAGATGAAGGCAATGAAGGACTGAATTGCCTGCCTTTTCAATAATTTATTTTTAAGTTTGTAAATTCACATGAAATTGAACTAGCTACCAAGAGAAAAATATTGATTTAAGGATGAGATTATTATGTCTACATTGGTTAACACACGTTAACAAAAGGTAGAAACACTTGACATGTTTCTTTCCACCTTGCACTTTTATGAATAATTTGACATTTAAAACAAAAACATTAAGCTTCACCTTAGAATTCTAAGAGCATCTGAACTTTTTCTAAAGAAGGGCTGTACCAGTCACATTACTCAATCCCAGCAGCCCCCATTTTGCTTTTTAAAAACACTCACAGGTCTGATCTTGTCTCAGCTCTACTAATTGTTCAAAGGGCTCTGTTGGTCTGTGAAAGCCTTCTTCTCCAGGTATTGTTACACATCTTGAATGTTCCAGGATAATTTGAATAGAAAGCAGCTTTGAAAAGTATGCACCTTCCCACAGAGTAGATGGTTCTAACCTTTGTTTCCATCATACTCTGCTGCACCTTGACTATGAAAACTGAGTTGTCTACTAGTTTTTTTTCTCGTAGCATTGCTTAAATAGAACTAAAGTCTCCAATACCTTTTCTGTTTGCTTTTGGTTGCCCGAAGCACTTATCCGCTCAAAGGTTTGCTCAGCCTCATCTGCATCCTTGCATTTCTGCTCATAGGTCTTTTTTGACTGCATTAAAATAAATTGAATAGAAGGTTTGTTTGTAGGTCAGATAATAGGACTGTATTCTCTCTAGCATGACAATATCTCTTCTGCAGGCAAAAGAAACAAAACTACATACAGGTCTTCGGACAATTTAAATTGACAGTGCTGAGAGATGGATATAAAAATAGAGCTGGAGAGACACTCTGGATGCTGACTAGTCAAATAAGCAGCACACCAACTAGCCTACTTCAGCATCCTGTAGATAGTACTGCCATGGGTCACACTGATTTAAAGACCCCATTCAGAATCAGTGCCCCATTGAAGTGGGGACTGCACAGACCCACACAGTGAAAAACATTCCCTGATCTGAAGACCTAACAATCAAATAGCAGAGCTGGAGGAGGGGAGGGGTGGATTTTTCATTTAATGGAAAATCCCATGTTTTTAGAAGAGCAACTCCCATGCTGAAAGAGAATGAAAACAACAATCTCAGTTTCCCATTAAATTAAATTCTTGAGCAAATGTTTCAGGTTGATCAGAGCACCTAATTTCAGTACAATCAACACGTGTCATTCCAATTTTGATGTTTTTAAAAATATTCTATGATAAGATGATTTAAATATAAAAAAAATCAAATAAATGTGACAATATTAAAATAAAACATTTCTGACATCAAAATATTTTTTCTCTGTAAATGAAATTTTATTGCTATCTACTCAGTGTTTTGCTTTTGACAAGTCAGCCTCTGACAGAAAAGAGTTATGCCAGGAGCATTTTTAATAGCTCTACTACATAAGCAAGACTGACCAATAGTGGAAGAGGAAATGATTTGCCGCAATCGCATAGTAGGCCAGTGGCAGGACCAGGAGTAAAATCGTGGCCTCCTGGATTCATGTCCAGTGCCTATTCATTGGCTCACATTGCTTCCAAAAAATACTGCCTTGGTCAATGGAAGTGAAGTCCTGTTGGAAATGTTGTTTGTTTGCATCTCTCCAGTACCTGAGTCCCCAGTCCTATACCAGTAGCCCACTGTGCTAAGTTTGTACAGAACAAAAATACTATCCCTCTCACAAGAAGTTTATACTAACAAGAGACAAGAGGTGGAAGTAAAAAACATGAAGAGCATAAAGAAACAGAAAGACAGTACAGGTCAGCATGATAGATGGTGCCCACTAGCCGCCTCTCTGTCATCACGCTGTTTTATAGACATCGTGTCAAAGGAAATTTTTACTGAGAAAAAAGGAGGGCAATAAAAATGGCTTTGCAGATGTTTACAAGGAACTCCAGCATGGTAGAAAGCACAGAGCTTCTTGTTTGAAAACTAGATCCACGAGCAATGAAGGCAGGCACCAGGGCTGTCCTAGGGGGGTGCGAATCAGGGCGACCGCCCCCGGCCCTGAACTCTGGGGGGCCTGTGGAGCCGGGCGAAGCAGCAGCGGTATGGAGCCGGGTGGAGTGGTGGGTCCTCGTTCAGCTGCTTGCTACTCCCTACTCCCCCTTTCCCCCCTTGCCGCTGTTTCTTCAGGTCCAGGATTAGAGCAGGGACGGGGCTCTGCATGGGCTGATTTACCCCAGGCCCCACACCCTGCTCGGGTCGCCCCTGGCTGGCACCATGAGAGGCTAAAATCTACTTTAGACATGGTATTATGTAAACAACAGCATAGATCCAATCTTAATGTCTACCTCAACAACTATGGCTTTTACTCTTCTTATCTCAAACCAAAATTAACATCATTAGCAAAAGGAGCTGAAGGTTATTACTGCTTATGCATCATCAACAGAATTGTCAGCTACATCCCATGGCTAAATCAGATTTATCATCCAGTTGTCATAGACGATTAGAGTGACACCCATGATTCTGGCAGCCAAATTTAAGCTGTGGAATCTATATGAATGGGGTCAGTGTATGAGTCAGTAAGGACTTGTTTCAACTTTGAAATCTCTAGTTCGAATATGCCAGGCTGACTAGTAGGAAAAAATAACATTTTAGCTTATAAACCAAGTGAGTTCAAGACACGAGTTGCTAAGGTTAATAAATAATAAACAATAATCCAAAATTTGTTCTTATTGTGACCCTGCACTGAAAAGTGACACTTGAAATCAGAGCAAAGTTTATTTGTTTGGCCTGCAATTGAGATTTGTGGAAAATTACTCCATTTTCTAGGTCTGTTAAAATCATGCTAGCCAACATGTTATTAATATACTTGTTCCTAGCAAGGTTCTAATTTCCATGATCAATGGGATTAGTTGTTGGTACTCCATTCAGGAATCATGTTATAAATCTGTACCACTGACAATGACAGGTAATCTATGGCTGTGTTTGTGCCAACTTATCTACTGTATTAATGCCTACTCACGAGTATGCCAACATATGCTGCAAGATTCTTTGTTCTTTTTTGTATAGCTAGAGTAACCAGTAGGTATAGGAATGTTCCAGCTCTAAGCTAGTACCAGAATTGGCATTTACTTTCTTTATATGGTTATGGCACCATTTAGTCCCTTTCACAAAGACCAGATTGTATGGTGATATAAACCAGTGAGGTCACAAATGTGGTTAAGCAATATACTTAAGTACAGTAAATTGATATCATGGTTTTGGCTTAGTCAGGGGGGAGCATGCTACTACTCTGCTAGCAGCAGCTGTATATACATATAGTTTTTGCAGTTTGATGGCAACTGGAGCACAGATGGAGCCTTAGTTGCATACCCTAAGGATTATTGTCCACTGGAAGCCAATGCCAGTTATCTATGAGCCCCTCAGATAAAAGTTACTATAACTCTGTTCATTGTACCCTTGATTTAAGGGTTCTCTCTATTCCTTGCACTTTTTCTGCATCTTTAGGCTAGGGACAGGCATTATACACAAACTGGTTTAAGTGATCAGGAGCTGGTTTAAACCTGTAATAGAACATAAATTCTGCATACATAAACCAGTTGAAAAATGGCCAAAACTGGTTTGAGATAAACCTGGTTGAAGAGTCCCCCCCTGAGGCCAGGCAGCCCTGCACAGAGCCCCCCTCCCCATCCCACACTGGTGCGGGGGGTAGAGGAGAAGGAGGGGGAGGAGTCCCCCTCCAGCATCACACAGAGCCCCCCTCCCCACCCCATGGCCATGGGGGAGAGGGAGAAGGGGAGAGAGTCCTCCTTTGGGGCTGCACAGTGCTCTGTGCCTGGATTGCTCCTGGCAGTAAGGAAGCTGCTGGGGTGGGCAGAGTTCTCCCCTTCTCTTCCTTGTACCGTCTCTGTCTCCACCCCTCCTCAGTCTTGCTCAGGCCTGCCAGGTCTGGCCACACATTGTACCACTCATCATGGGGGGTCAGGAGGGAATAGGGGATACTTTGTTTACCAGGGTGCCCCTCAGGGTTACTAGAAATAATGGCTGCAAACTAAAGGAAAGTAGATTTAGATTGGATATCAGGAAGAAATTCTTTACGGTGAGGGTTCCCAAAATATGGAATGGGCTTCCAAGGGAGGTGGTGCTTTCCCCTATCTTGGAGGTTTCATAGTTTCATAGGTGATAGGGTCAGAAGGGACCCAAACAGATCATCAAGTCCGACCCCCTGCCATGGGCAGGAAAGAGTACTGGGATCAAATGACCCCAGCGAGGTGTTCATCTAGCCTCCTTTTAAAGACCCCTAAGGTAGGGGCGCGCACCATTTCCCTTGGAAGTTGGTTCCAGATCCTAGCCACCCTGACTGTGAAGCAGTGCTTCCTGATGTCTAGCCTGAACCTACTCTCAATCAACTTGTGGCCGTTATTCCTAGTTACGCCGGGCAGTGCTCGGAGGAACAGGGCCTTTCCCATTCCCTGCTGGTCCCCCCTGGTAAGTTTATAGATGGCCACCAGATTCCCTCTCAGCCTTCTCTTGTGGAGGCTGAACAGGTTCAGGTCCCGTAGCCTCTGCTCGTAAGGCCTGCCCTGCTGCCCCCTGATCATGTGAGTGGCTCTCCTCTGGACCCTCTCCATG